ATGACATTAGCTACATTACGTCGCACACTGTCAATTGTTTCATCTATACAAACTCATATTTTTTGGCCATTCACAGCATCGCGTATTTTAGTTATCGTATTAGTGTAGCAAGAATCGAAGTATCCTTTTCGTAAAGTTGATTCATTTGGAATAGTTTTATTGCAATATTTTGAAAGAAATGACCGAAAATGTTCGTTGTTTAATTTGTTTAGTGGGATATTCACCGCTACAAATGCGGAACATAGGTCAGCATTAAAATCAGACTTACAAAATTGTTGAATGAATGGCTGAACTGCATTATGTTTTTCAGCTTCATGTTTTTTCAATGCTTCTTTGTGTTTTTCTCTGCCAATATGTTGTTGAACGTTATATTTTTCATCCGAATTTATTTTGACTTCACACAATTTACAAAATATAATATTTCCGTCAGTCATAAGCACATTTTCACCGAATTCTCTTACGATTTTTTTTAATTTTAAATTTTAATTTTTAACTTTTGGCATTTTGACGATTAAAGAAATTATTTAGAACACTATACGTTTATACCTCACTGATTGTCGATTGATATTTACCGGCCAACTAAAGTATTAGCACGTGCTATAAAAATACGTAGGTATAATTCAGATAATTTTCCCTTTCCTTGAGTCGTAAATACAACTATAGATAATTGTAGATAAAACTATTTCGGCACAATAACGACAGTTATTTTATCAGTCATATATTTATTACTGGTTTTTTCACTGTTTTTATAATTTCTGGTAATACTAATATAGTCCAAGACGTATAATATACATAGAAATAAGCTAAGTTTTCAAGAAAAATATATAAAAATCAAGAAAAAATAACCAATTAGGGGAAAATCAATAAAAAGCAGATTTTATGGAAAAAAGCAAAAAAAAGTTTACTTTATTAAAATCAGAACGATTCAAAACGTATTTATATAAAAGAATTATCTTTCTATCACACTTCCCTCAAAAGAAGCATTTGCTACAAAATCCGAGCCCTAGTTATCATTATTAATCATTGTAATAAGTAACTGATTATAAAAAAATCGAATTTCAAATATTTAATTATTATTATTCTATTGGTCAAAAATTAATATTTATTATTGTATAACAGTCAAGTACCATTACTGAGTGCCCAATGCCAGTAGTGTATATTGGGCTGTGAAAATTTAGCAATTGCACTACTAGAAATTTGTAAGCAATTGCATAGGTATGTGTAGGTGCCTGATAGGTATGTTATAAGATAATTGTAAAAAAAAAAAATAATTAAATGAAATTATATAATACTATATTGTTAAAATAATAGGTACAATTAAGTGCAAAACATTAGTTATATCGATTATATCTTATAGGATAACCCTGCCATGAAATGCTCATTTTACAAATTTAATTAATTATATGTGATACATCACCAATAATTTATAATATTTTATAATACAATATATTATTATATTTTTTTAATAAATAATATTTTTTATATTATTTTGTTTTTATATTATAATACTTAAGATATTATTTCATGTATATATATATATATATATATAATTATTCATAATAAATTACAAACTATTGCTATTAATATAGTACTTTTTATATATATATAAATTTATTTTATTTCTATTAATTTAGTTAACTTTCATTATGCAACGAAGGAGAACTCAAAAAATATTATCAATGATTCATCCAGAAAATAGTGGGAGTTCTGGTAATAGTTCTAGTGATGAAGATGAAACTGTGGAAGCTTTAATTGTAGTATAAACAATATAAACTCTTACAAGTTGTGTAATATTTATTAGTTAACAAATACGGAACAATAAACATTACAAATAATATACAACAAAAATAAAAACGCGAACAAAGTTACGAATAGAATTTAAACATAAACAGCACGTTGACGTATGAACGAGAAATTGTTGACTAGAGCGTAGGAAAAACATAGATGTATGAGAGAGAGAATATTGGTTACATGTTTGTTGACCAGTGTGGCCACTGCTGCCATCAAATAGAAGTAGTTTATAACGCAACTTATAATTCTTCTTTTATATCATCTAATACTGATGAAAATGAGTTAGATGCACTTCTGAAAGACTTTGTACTAAATCCGATCGAAGAAGTAAATTTTTAATTTCACCCTTTCACTACCCTTTAAAGAAATAACTCGGGGTATATTAATTTATTATAATTAATTAACACAAATATTTAACTAAATATAACAAAACTTATGAATTTTAATCGCTGATCAAAAGAATATCACAGAATAGACATGAAAGAAATAGGACAAACGCATGTGCTACCGGTACGTAAGACGCACACCGACTACCCGCCGTCCGTTGAGTCAGTCCCCTCATTAGGCCAACAGTATTATATACCAGTGTAGCCTGGTGTATAACATTAAATTGCTAACACTTTGCCCATTACAATGAACATGACTTTTTAATTTTATTTCCTAATTACTGTGTACTGATATCACAGATGTATACTATTTACTAGACTTTTGCCCGACTTGGTTCCCATACTTGAAGCCAACAGTCATAATGCAGATTGGGCATTGTTTACAAGCCGATGTTATCAATGTTAGTGATAACAGACAAAATTATAATTATAAATTATAATTGAGGCAGAAAAATGTCTGTTGAATTGACATTAACATATAATTTAACTGATATAAATAAATCTAATTTAAAAAGAAAAATTATATATCTGTGTAGCAATAAATTAGGTCTTGATCATACTATTTTTAACGAATTAGATTGCAATTCAAGTATTTTGAAAAGACCTTACAAAATGGTTTTGATTACCGTTTTAGTAAATAGATACTTGAATGTTAGACTTAAATCGTTTGGTAAACAATATACTGCATTTATAAATACTATAAGTAAAAGGCATAAGCTTATATATAAGTAAGGTAACTAAGGTAGGTTATTGGCATTGTATCTTCCATGATACAATTGATAACTTTGAAATTTTAAGTCCAAAATATTTATTGACATCATTTTTGGATTCAGCGACCTTAAATTAATTTAAAAATATCTACTTAAAAATTTTCATTCTACTATTTTAGTGCTTGCCAAGTTAAGATTTAATTAATGCATAACATATAATTACTAAATTAACGATTAAAAAATAAAATAAATTTATTTAATTAAGGAAATCAAAATCATTTTATGGGGTCATTTTAAAATACTACCGTCACGATTTAATTTACTGAATACATTATAGTCAAGACATAACTTACTAGTACATTGATACATTATTTTTTATTTAAATTAGGTATGTTATAAGGTTTGTTAGATTATTTGTTAAATTTAAAAGGATTTTTTCAGTCTCCATTATAATTTTAAAAGAAATTTCCTAACTTAAAATTGAGCCATCACTTTGTCTTAAATTTACAAATTTACCCTATGTTGATGAACAATAATTATGGTCTGATGTTTCTTTGAAAAGACTTTTTACACAAAAATCACAATTAAGTATTTTAATTATTTTTAAAATAATATATCCTAATATGTAGTATAAAATATTTTCCTTAGCACTTTGTAAAGAAGGACTTATATTGTTAATTAATTGAAATCTATTTAAAATATCTTGATCAGCTTCACTCATTTGACAGTTGTCATTAAATTGCTCTTTCTTATTCCACTTAAAGTCTAAAATTCTGAACATTACATCGTCATCAAACGTGTTATAGTTGCCATTATTTTTTAATTTAAATACATTTTTTATTAAAATTTGTTTAATAGCAATTTTTAGGTGCACCACATTTGAATTATTATTTGAGCCACCACTTTGTCTGATTTGCTCAAGTAATAGTTCTAGGTGAGGTTGTGAAAATGTATAAATAAGGATATAACTAAAATGTATAAAATCATTTACAAATATTGATCTTGCTATACTGAGTAGTAATTTAACGGCAATGGCAAAACCGTAAATAAATGTTTTTTTATTTGTTACATGTAAAAGTTGATCATTGAATTTCAAAGTACCTATACTATACAAATATTTATCGAATGGAATAATTTTATTTTCTAGATCAAGAATGTTGTTTTTAGTAATTGGAGATTTATAATTTTTAGAGAAGAGAATATAGATTTTAAGTCAAATATCTAGTCAAGCACTTGGCAATACTCTGTAGTTGCCTTTCTATTTTCAAATTTTGAAACTTGTTGATTTAAAAATTTAATGCAGTTGCTGTGAATGCAGAAAGAGTCTAAGCAGCATAAGATACTTTCATTTTATTATTATGCCATTTAACATGAGAATTTGAGAGTTATTAGCAAATTTTACCTTAGTTTCTTGCTGTATTTCATGTAAATTTGATAAATGTTGCCAACGAATAAATCCCGTGGTAATTGCAATAACCAAGTATGTTTCTGGCTAATTTTAGGTTATGACAAGCATCTGGAATAAAATAAACTTTATCATTACTTATAGGATGTAGAAACCAACTTTTTATTTTATTATAACTATTTCCAATGATGCAACCTAATATTTTTATCATAGTTATGTTTGTGTAAGCACCATCACATGTAAAACCCAAAACAGTTAAACCGGCATTATGCATATGTTTAAATATTGATTTTACTAATTCATATTAAGCAACTGCAGTGGTTTTATTTTAAAGAACATATGCTATAGGTAGTTTTTACTTACCATTTAGACAAGCATAAAAAATAGAGCCTCTGTCGCAGTAGTATCTGTACCCTCAAGTTGTAATTCACCACCAAAATCACAATAACCAATAAATTTATTAAATTTATCACTCCATAAAATTTGTTTTCTTAAAGACATGGAATCTAAACATAAATTGCAGTGTTTATCTTCTGGAATTTAAGTTTTCAGATAGTCCATAACTTCACTAAATATGCTTGGTTCTGCATTGATTGATGAAGTCCAGTTCATTATAGACTTACTGCTTGATAATATTAGAACTGATCTAAAATAAATAAAACAAATAGTTATTAAAATAAAAGTATTAAAAATAATAGCATTTTAGTTCCTTAGGAGAAAGCTATGGTGAGCAATTTGTGTAAGCGTTTGATAAAAGCATTAAAAATTAAAAATAAAAATAATTTGTGCATTACTCTTCAGTCCAGGCAGCGTCGTTGATACCAAGAAAAAAAATAATGAAAAAAAGGATTCTTTTGCATTACATTTACAATTATAAATTACCTTGCATATTCATAAGCTTTATGCGAGTAGTAGTGCAGAGTCAATGTGTAATAAGTTCCATATTATATATTAAATAAATAAAATTACTATCGTATTATATATCTAACCATTACTTACGAGAAAAAGTGTAGTTTTCGAGGTCCTGATTTTGACCGATTTGTACACAAATGTACACTACGGGTGCACACCATGTGTTTGGATACAAAAACTGTACAATAAATATAATTCAGCAAAGTTACAGCAAAACATAAGATGACTCTCGAGTTACGAAAGTTTATCGTTAAACAAAAAATAATTTGAATTTTGATTGATATCACGAGGATTAAAACATCCATATTTTGTAAACATTGCCCAACCTGCATATGGTGACCAGGCAACATATGTGTATGCATAGTCTATACATAGTCGGCTATCTATAAGTAAATGTTGGTTCTTCAGTTACTTGATTTAAGGGGACTTTAGTAGCTTCGAATATTATTCTTTTAATAACGCTGTCGATGCTGACACCACATACTTCTGAAGTTTTTTGTTGTATTTGTAAAAATTTGCCACTTCAGGATTCGTCGAATCACAAGATAATTTTTTGAAGTATAATATACGAGTACACCAAAAACCATTATTTTTGTTCGAGAGAGAATATCTACTAAACGGTAAAACATTTTTAAATAAATAATAAAATAATAAACAATTAACTATATTAAAAAGTATATATAAACCGTACATACGTTTTACGTGAGTAACGTATAAAGGAATTGTCAACAACGAGTAACAGCACGCATTGAAAGGTGCACATTAACAACAGCTGCAACGGCGAGTGATTCATAAGCATAATAATATAATGGTGGGGTCGTAGAATAGAGTAAGAATATAGGGTCGTAGGGAGTCGGAAGGGATCACATCTGCTCACACAAATCAGTGATACACAAAATAAAAATACTCAGCAAACCTTACTATTTGTATTGAAAAAAATGCGCGCTTTTTATTTTCTGTCATAGATTGAAGACCCCTGATTTGAGACAAAACTGCAACGAGGCGCGGCAGTATCGAGTCGCAGTTGTTGTGAAACGTACTATACTTACACAAACTATTCTCATGCCAGTGTCATCATTTCTGACGACATGAAATATGTTTATTCTTATATTTATACAGTATATTATTAAAATATTTAAAAATCAATTTGCTAATAAATAATCCCGTAGACTTAGACCCCAAAGAAATAACCCTAAAATAAAAATGATTGTGTTTCTACCTAATAATAAATGTATAATATCATGGTATAATGATATTATTTGTATATCTATTCTTATCATACAATAATTTTTAAAACGCAACAAACCTGAAATTCTATTGCGTATGTACAAAGTAATTGAGTACCTAATAGTAGAACAGCGCACTCACGTCTGACCGCTGAAACTATACCCATGCTCCATCTATTAGTATAAGGCCTATGATGACAATTCGTTGTTTACTTATTCCATACGTAGGGATGTCAGATTTTAAAATAAAAGATACCGGACAAAACTATAAACAATTAAATTAGGGTTGGGGGGGGATCGACCGTTGGGTACCTACCATAATAGATAAGATAATCTAATTTCTATGCTACCATTCCAATATGTTATAGCCTGATAAGTTGTATACAGTTAATTTTGTTAAAAAATGCTTTTTTAGAAATCGTACAAAAATATAGCATAAAATATTTCACAATGTAAGAAAAAATAACTAGTTAAATGAAAATAATAAAATAATTTTCAACAATTAATAATGTTCATTATTCAAACTATTAATTCTTATTATTTATTTAAATAAACATACAAATTTTATTTTTATAACATTATTAATAATAAAATTAAAATCGTATAGACTTATACAGATAATTTAAAAATTAAAATAACCATGTCACCCAATAAATCATCATCGTCTGGATGATCACGACCCAATAAGTGCATACTCAAGTCCTTTGAATAAAATTTATTGATGAAGTTGGAATATATTGTCCCACATCAGTTGGTAATTCAGTAAAATCATATTTTATTTATATATAACATTTTGTTTTAATCTTTATTGTGTTTCAATATTATTAAAATCCGTAGGTTTAAAATATAAATTACATAAATGGCGATTATTCAGTTGTTCCTATGATAAATCCGCCAATTTAATATTTCCTATAGATAAAATAGTATTGAGGTTAATATTTTTGGGAGCAATTTAAGTAAAAAAAATTTCAATTTAGCATATTTGGTGTACTAGGATGTGTATGTGTGTGTGTATGGTATTTTATTTATTTGTTTTATATCTATAAATATTTGATAGTAAATCGTTATTTTACGCTTGAATTTTTAAATTTTTACTAGACTTAGACGCTCATAAATATTTTTTAATTTAATGTTAATCTAAATTTATTATATTCTCAAGCGCATAAAAGAAAACAAGGGTTAAAATCATTTTTAAAAAGAATTTCATTACGTATTCAAATATGATTAAATGTAAGCTTATTAAGTGTACAACACATCTTAATATTCCATCAACCAATGAATTATTCAAATAAATCGAGGTAAATAAAATTCAACATTTACATTTTATTCTTATATTATTTTTTAAATAATCCTCTTTAATCACGCCATAAAATTATTTGTTATTTTCTCCGTACCTACACCGATTGTGTTAGGTTGTATAAATTGTATATTGCTTGTAAAAAAAAAAAAAAAAATTGTATATAAAACTTTTTTGCATCACTGGTTACATGCATGAACAAAATTAATATTCTATGTCGAATACCACTCCAATTGTTTGATTTACTTAGTTTAAGTATTTTAATTTTTACTAATGAGAAATCTAAAAATGTTAGCTCATAATATATTAGTAAATGTTAAGAAATAATCTAATTATTTATTTGCATTAATTTTTTTTCCATACCTAAACATTTGAATAAGAATGGTTTATTTTTTCCTTTATATCCTGTGTAGGATGTGTAACACAGGTACTTATTCAGCAGAGAAACCGGTCCAGATGAAACGAATCACGAATGTCTTGTATGAACAAATAGGAGTACAGCTACATCGTTTTTAGGTAGTATGAAACTACATTACTACTTAATGTGATGTGGGTAAGCGTATAAGGTATGAATTTATTTGTGTATATAATATTTAGAATAAAAAAAAAACTAATACTAAGCGGGCCTGCAGATTCTAGACATTATTAGGTAATTATATCTACGGTAGACCATCGATCGGTGCACAGTGTTTTGTAAAACAATATTTTAATTAGTTGTACAGGATAATATAATATCCTTTCCCTTTTCATTTTTTCACGGAATGATCACGGAGTTGTTCGTATGATCGGCGGCCTTAATACGTAACATGCCTATCATTTTCCAATTAGTATAGTTAGAAAATTATAATGCAAATAATTCTAATTAATCAACATATTCTGGAAACCTTAATCATAATTTGGATGAACATTATTATAGTATATTTGTATAGATTTAACTCTTCCTTTTAATTTATGATTGAAAATGTATTTTTATTCGTTTTATTTTTTTAAATTAACAGGTGATCACTTTGATCATTTATTGACCGAGAGGTATGGTTTCACCCTTGGTGGATGAATTTGTTGCAGCTATGGAAGTTGTAGACTCCGATCCCAAATCAGGGCATTAAATATGTCATATCCTGCGTATTTTTTTGTTTTTATTTTTTATTTCTAAATTAAAAATTTAACTTAATTAGTTAGGTTTATAATCTATTGAATACAAAATCAGCGGATTATTATAATTACCATAAATTGCATCACTTCCTTCAGTCGTTACATTGGGTACGTTTAAGTACGGTCGGCGCGAATTGAATTCCTGAAGTAAAATTTTAAATTAAGAAGAATATGTACACACATACCGTGGTAAACAGAGACGGCAAACATTTTTTTGGCCACGATCTACTAAAAATATACTTAATTTTTGAGGATCGACTTCCATAAGTTTTTGTTTTTATTATTGAGTATCTATAATTATAAAGAAACATATTTGCATATAGTGTACAAATATAAATGTGTATAAACTAATTACTGTAATAATATTTGTAGTATTAGTAATAATAATTACTAAAGTCTAGTTAACATATTATATAGTTGAAGTGTGACAATGCATTTCGCTGACCAGTAGTATTAAAAATTTCGTACGCGTGGTCTGAAAATAAATCCTTACACGATCGACTTTCAAATAGTTTGAGACCGACTGTTTGGTCACCCTTGCCATATAATATACGTATATGTATATTAAAAATATGTAATGTTAAAAAAAATTGTAAATGTTCGTTTTTTTGATAGGTGACAGAATACACCGCACCATACGGTGAAAACACATTGTCTCGCTTCGCTTCACATATCTTTAATATAACCATTTTAAGTAGGTATCTAGTCCGTACTTCAGAAAATCAATTTACAATTTTTTCTATGGTTCTTTTAAAAAAAAAAAAAAAAAAACGAAAATCATGAACACCTAATTAAAAATATATGAACTGTACGTAATTGAATTCTTGACATTTTCACAGAGTACCTGTATACTCGTATTACAAGAAACAAGTATGTCGAACTAAATATGTAGTGCGTGGCACGAAGAGTTGAAAATGTTCGGCTTTGGCATATAACAGGCTGATGTTTCAGCTCAAAGGCTCCGGCCTGCCGACGGTCGCGTTTGTTTGGTTTTTGACGCCAACCTTTACGTAAAGCCGGTCCCACGCGAATCGTGTACTCGGTGAATAATCGTCAATCGTGATGCTTTACGAGTCGTGTTGGAGGTGTTTAATCGACAAGTATGGTGATCATATTTACTTGTCGAGTCAATTATGATATTTATCGTATTCGATGGCAATGGGTTTTAATATCGATATTTTAAATATCGTACATTTGGCCGACATTGACATCTCACCGGTGCCATTGGTGACCAGTTCGTGGATGTCCGGAATCAACGCGCTGTCACTAAAATATAATATTTAATCGAATAAAATATGACGTCGTACGTTTTGTGACGATCATCACGCAACACACTCGTACATTTACAAATGATTGGACGTACATGTGACGTTGAACGGCTGTTCGGATAACGCCGAGCAAAAAACGAAGGAAGAAAAAAAAACTGGAACAAAATCATCCATCGACCAACATTTTTGAATTATAATAACAAGTACAACAAAAGATTAACTGTAAGTGTTGTCGTTTCAACACATTTGCCATTTCAATCGGATTGGCCTCATGAGTAGCGAACGGAACGACCACGACCTCTTGACCGGGTCCATCGCCATCGGCTCGTACAATCGTCGTGGCCGCGTCAGGATGTTGCGAATGGACGACGGCCGCAGGTAGAAAGTTAACCCTTTCGGCAACTACCATGTGCACTTCCTCTGGGCCGACTCGTTCTCCACGAACGCGGTCTGGCATAGCACGCGGTATGCACTCTTGTCAGCACAGGTGTTCCAAAAATTTGGGTTCATAGTGGAAAGTGATTTTGAAAACGGATATTACTTCGACAACTGGACGTGTTACTCTCGCAAAACGGTGTGACGGGATAGTTCGTCCGACAAAACGGAATCCGAAATCCCTATAGTTGCCGACGTTATCGTGTAACAATATTCAAATCAAAACCATGATACTGTTGTATTGACGGATGCTTTAAAATTTTAAGACGTGCCAAGGAAAATTTGTTGTTCTTGTGAGGGTTGATTTTTATAAAAAATAAAAAAAAAACATTATTTATGCAATGATTCCTTTTTTCTTTTCTTCTGCTTGTTAGATTTTTCTTATTCTATTGTAATCATTCTTAACATCATGCTAAACTATTTTTTATTCATTTATCCATATAACAATATATTATGAAAATTTACGAGAAAAAAAAATAATAATGTTGTAATAAACATGTTTAGTTAAATTTATAAGCTA